ATATAGTGATGGGTTGACGTAAGTAAAAACCAATCGAGAAAGTTAAAATGAAAATGAAGATTAATAGTAGTCTGGGCTTCTTGAGTCGGGCTTATTAATGTAGAAGTGTAGTCTAGTTTGTTATTAGTAGTATTAGAATAATAGACCTAATCCTAAAATTGAAGATATGTAGTGGCATTGGGCCCTAACCACACAATCCTCTAATCTGAACACCAGACGACTGCGAAAATAGATATTCAGCATTTAAGGCGGAGAAAAGCCCAACAATGGAGAAGGCGAGAAGAAGGAACTCAATTAATCCAACTCATCGGGTAGCATGGCTCAGCCTTTCAGGCGTGATCACTCTGTATGAATTGTATTTACTCATTTTAAATATATTGTTCTATCTCCAGCCTGAATGTGTTCTTCATCATATATTGGTGATTGTTACGCTACGATGAATCGGTGTAAACAGTGAAATGACTCCCACTTAAAATCTTATAGGTTAGGCAGTTACATCATGGCAAGTCTACAATCTTAGGATTAGGTATATTAGTAGAGTATTACTAATAACGAAGTAGACCATGATTCTAAATTGATGGGCTCGATGTGAGGAAATCTCCCCGTAACTGTAACAGATATATCATGATGTGATTGCCTTATGGCGTAATCACTCGTGATTTCGTGTACAAGCGTAACCAAGTGCCTTCAGCTAGGTGAGTACAATGAAACTAATGCGGTCAGCATCAGATATCGAAGACTTACAGGGCTATTAATTTTTGTGATTTATTTACCTTTACATGTTTCATGGAATCGTAACTAAGTTGGCTAGTGAAATCAAATGTTAGTGTGTGGCGAGACAATGTCCAAGATGAGTTTACAGTACAGTAGAACAAAAGATAACCTGATTGGGCTCTTTAGTCTAACGATTACTTTTACATCTGGTACGTCCTTGTTTTCGACTTTCAGAATGGAGAAACGTTTATAACCGGAGAATTGACTAGTTGTCTCACGATTACCGACTTTCCACCGATAACCAAACAACATGGTCCTCAAACTGAACGCATTCGAAAACCTGGGAAAACGATCACGGTCCTCGATGATTTTCACATAAACATGAACCCTAAAGACAACCCTGATCTTCCCCTCTGTCTTCAGGATAAAAGGACAGGATGCCCTGGAAAGAGTTAAACAGGAATTTCGAACTTCCCAAAATAGAGCCTTTGGTGGTCACACGGTTCAGTTGGGGAGAAGACTCCAAGCATCAAAATTACCCAAGACTACCTCATGTGACGATTTCCAACACTGCCAAATTAGAGGATGTGTTATTGGCTAGTCATTTACTGAAATCAGATGGCAATGTAAGTATACTGTTCAGCGAACCGTATTCTGAGCTTAATCTCATCCGGAACATTTCTAGGGAATATCGCGAGTTTTTCCACTGGAGAAATATTGTGCAAGGTGTGCCAGAAAACACGGACCCTGATCATACAAACTCTGATATTCGGGGATGGAAATTCATCAAGCATTCCTTGAAGCTCAAAACCATATTGACTTAAAAGTGGTTAGACTAACCAAGAAGGACGGTGATTCTAGACCCAGGCATGTGAGGATAACCTACCTATCCTCCCATATGGCGGTTACAACTCTCGAAGCATTTCGTGCCAAAAGATACCGGTTGCCAACTAGAATCCATATGCATCTGGATAGACCACACGATGCCAGGATCAAGCATAAAGGCAAATTGAGGCTGACAATTCCACTCATAGGATGCATAGATCATAAAATAACTTGGAAAGGATAGAAGCCACCAACTCGGAAAACCTTTTATAAGTAGGCTACCTGTTCATTCACAAAAGGCTCATACAGATTAATAGAGCGAAGAAGTTCATGCGTTTCAAACTGAAAGCATAAACTGCTTGTAGATGGACATAACGAGTTTACCGAGTAAAATTGATGAGCGACGTGAGCTCAGAATTGCTACTAATGTTCATCTGATAGGAATACGTGAAACTTGAATATCTTATCAGTTTACGAACCAGGAGTTAGCAATACCCGGGGCGCCTTTGTTTCTCAATGGCAAAAAACAGGAAATTGGGGGGGAATAGTCTTATGCTTACGATCTTTCATGAAGACACATCAAATCCACAATCAAGAGTTCGTCAATCTCGATGGGTCCGTATGGTGCTCAGTAAGATGATCTACCACCTCGACGTGTCTTGATGGAGTCATCTACATGAAGCCTACTGCTGACAATCGTATGCTGAAACGATTATCTCGCTTTACTCGCCTCGGATACACCCACCCTGATTGTAGATGTCAATATTCATATAGTCAACTTTGCTGAACACACGTACATTATAGGTGAAAACTTTACTGAAGCTCGCTTCTTCAACCTCATTGAGGATCTGGAATTATTCGAAAATTTCTAATCAGCAACTCGTTGGGGAAACAGCTAGATGCCGTCGCGCTGAGACTGAGTATTTTTAAACGCAGAATTCTTAATTGACAACCTATTGATCCTGGCTCCCCTAGTGAAAAGCTATCTCGCCGTCATATTCTTTAGTTATATCAGCAAAACTGAGTTAAGATATCCCGCTTACAACAAGCGTTATAATTTCAAATGGTTGGACGTGTCAGCTTTATAGGACAATGTACAGCAGGTGGACTGGGAAGTTCACCCTCAACTTGATATGGATACTCATTGGGATTACTTACTGCCCACGATTTTATTTTCTACAAGGCAGTCTGTTTCTCAAATGGGCCTCAAAATCTACAAGCAACCTACAGTCATCAAGAACCGCACTCTTCGTTTACTAAGCCTCAAAAGGCACTGTTGGGCAGAATGCAAACGAACTGGTGACAACGGCGCATACAGGCAATACAAAGAAATAAGGAACATATGCTCAAAGTCAATAAGAGAAGACAGGCTTCAATACAAGATGAAGCTCATAGATAAACTTGTCTCCTATCCGAAAGGCTTATTTCGTTGTGCAACTTATTTTTGACAAGCCAAAACTGGAGTTTCTCAACTGCTAGGTCTAATGGCTGGACCAACAACGGCGCCGACGCTGCTGACCTTCTGGCTGAACAGTACTCTCAAACTTTTCCACCAATCCACACTAACTATATTGATGAAAGCTCCATCCGCAACTGCACAAGACTTTCAGAAGTGAACCTGAGCACTGACTTGGTATGCTGGAAAATGCAACACCTAAAAAGACACTTCTTCTGGTCCGAATACGGTTCATTCTGCTATACTGAGGGAAACAGCTTTAATCCTGGCAACACCGCTTAGCGTGATATTCTCATACTCGCTAAGCCAAGGCATATTACCGGAAATTTGGAAGCTGGCTCACATCACACTTCTCAAAGGAAGTCGACACAACGAACTTTCAAGCTACTGAGTAGTAGCACTTCTCTCTATCCCCATATAAGTTGTGGAGTCCCTGGAATGCGATGGTATACATGACTATTTTATGTCCTTGAACTACTTTTCGCTCCGACAGTATGGTTTCAGGAAGGATCATTCTTGTATAACCAATTTGATATCTGCGGTAGACAAACAGACAACCATCCTTGATCGCAAGGGGAAGTTTGACGTAGTTTACCATGACTTCTCAAAAGCTTTTGCCAGGGTCAACCATATGTCTTATCAATACGCTCAAATGATTAGGTATCAAATCACCTTTAATTGATTGGCTCATTGCATACCTAAAACATCGACATTTTATGGTCAGGGTTAACTTCACATTCTTTTAATCTATGGATTGTTCTAGTGGAGTCCCTCAGGGTTCGATATCAAGACCTCTTCTTTTCTTGGTTTATATAAACGATCTTCCACAACAGGCATCGTCAGGCATTACTTCTTGCTGATGATGTGAAACTTTGGAGAAAGATACTCAACTAAGGAAATAACCCGAAACTTCAGGAGGATCTGACTCAACTTCAAAGTTGTTATTAAACACAAACATTTTATGGGTACATAAGTGTTGTGAAGAAACCATTTTGGGTTTCTTCGGAAATAAAATAATGACAATGGAATTACCTTTAACAGTTCAAAGTGTAAAATAGTCCATCTGGGACATGTTTCAGACAACATCTACTACTTAGGCAACTCCCCTCAAGAGGTTATCAAGTCGAAAAAGATCTAGGAGTGTTGATACCCTACGATTTAAAGTCTTACTCTAACTGTGGTAAAAATACCTTTCGAGAAAACCTTGAACTGGTAACACTGAAGAGCATTTTAAGCCAGTTTGACGGAAGAATTTTACGCATCGTATTCAGCAGTTTTATTAGGTCCCCATTTAGAGTACAGAAACATGGTATTTCCTCCATAAGGAAAAGGACACTCTGGAACGTATCCAACGGCGAACTACGAAATCATTTCGGGGGACTCAAATTCAAGACTTATGAAGAGCTCCTACAATCACTAAACCTTCACTCATTAGAGTATGGGCGCCTCATAGGTGACCTTCTTATAGCTTACAGCATCCTAAATACTTCTAGACATCCTCTTAAAATATCTACGTAAGCTTAATCCCAACACAACCACTAGGGGTAGAAACCAGAAACTGGAGACATAACACAGCAGAACTGACTGTAGATACAACTTCTACTTCTTAAGGGTAGTCGAACGCTGAGATTTGTTGCCGGCTGAGCTAGTCTGAGAGACTGATCAGGAGTCTTTTAAGAGAAAACTTGACATTCTTAAGGACTAAGGATAGTACTTCACTATGATTTACCAGTCTTTTTATTTTCCATATGTTATAGATAATACACCTGGGTTCCTGCATGGAGGTATTAGTGATTCATTGATACTAGATACAAAAACCCGTTAAACGAAAGCCTCTATTACGTCTAAAACCATTTGAAATATATGAAGGAGCGGCATCTTATTTCTCGACTCAAGAGAAAATAGAACACAAAAAATAGCATAGTGGTCAAGCGGAAAACAGCACAGAGACAATCTTTCCTCAGAGCTAAAATTCAAAAGCATCTACCCAAAGTTTGTTTGAATCGCTCAAAACTGGAGGTCAGGTTCTACGAACCATTGGAGGTTTATTAGGTTTGTCGAGATGTAGATGCTTGTGGAAATGTACAGCGATGCATCCTGACGAACCAGGATTGTATTTTGAGGTTTTATAATAGTTTCATTGTCAAGTAACTTCCTTTAGAAACCCAATTCTGTAAGGATACTTAGCAGCAAACTCAATATGGATCGAACATTTAGTATGTCCAGTGCAAGTAATGGTGAGTACGAATTCTGTTTGCTTTATTGTAGTTTGGTTTCTCTAGATGAAAACAAAGAATCATTGGATAGTTCGGAATGCATACAAATGGTCCGATTGTGTTCGGAATTGCATCTACAAGTAAGAAAAACATGTCAAGTCTTGTATATTTTCTTAGTGCAGAACGTACCTCACAATTATTCGAACTAATCTCGAAATTGATGATGAAAATACCGAAAGTTCTCAGTCAGAAAGCGATATCGTCTGTGCTTTGAAAAGACTTCATGCTCTGTTGAACTCGGACTTTTCTTCAAGGATAAAACATTTGTATTCGATTGCAGGTGATTATGATTTTGGCTCTTTGAGGGCGAATGGCATCCGAAGCTTTTTGACCATTACCATGAGGTGTTCTGCCGTCCTGCTGACGTACATCCGGCAAATGAGTTCTTATTCCATTTCCAACTGGTAAGATGAGATTTGATCAGATTCAGTATTTTCGTTTTGACGAATAAGTAGACCATTAAAACCTTTTACACTTCTTCTACGACTCATCCTTAAGTGAAATTAGGTCTAGTCAGATATACAATAACGTAAAAAACTGAAATCACGTAGTTACTTTTATCGGTGTCTTTCTGGCAATGCTGATTGATAATAGTCATACTCTAAGGGACTCTTATTCAGGCAAATTTCAATGTAGTTGTCACAAGAGGACTTCTGTCCCTTCTCATAAGCTAACTTAATCAATATTCGAAACTAGTTTGACCAGATTATTTTTTGATTTGTAAACCTCCGTTATTCTATCCAGTAATTCCAAACTGTCATTTTAAAGAATTATGGGGGTTCATGTTTAGCGTTGCCTAACGTTGTGTTGTATTCATTTGACCCAAAATCTCTTTCAAGCACTATCATAGTTACAGCGAACAGTTGTTTCTCATTCCTTGATACTAGTGATTTGTCTATAAGACTGTTTCAACTGTTTACACAGGTAAGCATCAAGTAGTTCAGGTTACCTTATATGAATTCCACTTCCGATCAAAACCTTTTTACCTATTGAATAACAAAAATGCTCTTTCTCAGGTGTTCAGGGGTTACTTTGCAGAAAAACAAGATATTGACAGCTATGTTTGTGGTCGTACATATACTCACTATTGACTTTTGAAATAGTCGGTTTTAGGTGGTATTCTAACTTATTAGAATGTTTGTAATATAAGAATCAATAATTTCTACGTGTACTATAGTAAATAGTGTCGTACGTATCATACCAATATTTGATCATAACACAAGATTATATTTTCCTCTAAACGTTAGGTCTGGTATAACACATAAGAGTGTGATAGCATATATCAATTGCCTTATGGAGCTCAGCGTGTGTCTTGAAGTCCTCAGTTATCTACCACGTTTCACTAAACCTTCTACTCTTTTTCCTCGATCTGAGTTCGTCGATTTGCCAGAAATTGGACATTGTGATGTGAACACTTTTGATGATAAACCAACAAATATTACCGATGCATGTTCTACTATCAAATCAAAACAGCACGAAGAAGATCTTTCAGAATTCTATCGACTAGAAGTCCTATCAGACAGTATAAAACAAGAACATTTTTATGGTCGTTGTCTAGCCTTTTACTTATGCCCTAGTGCTCAGAGAATTTTGCTGTTTCTGAATTCGTTTATGGCGGGATATGGCAATAGCTTTTTGGTAAGCATACTTATTTATTTAGCATGATTAACTTTAATTCAATGTATGATATCAGAACACCTATTACAGTTGTCTTAGCAAAATTCCTTTCACTTTATTACAGTAAATCTGTCTGACCATTTCCATTGGTAGGCCGTTCATTTATAAATTTTGATCATATGTAACTCGAAGGTTCGCTGATTAAATTACTTGACTTCTTACCACTTGGGGGAGGGAGTCGCGCAATTTCATTAACGCTCAGATGGTGTAAACTTAAGCTGAATACACCAACCTCTGCGTGGTTACTAAGTCGTATTAAATTTAAGTTAAATTTGGTTTAGTCTGCAAAATATTTATGCTTTACAAATTAGTTATATCGTTTCAGAGAATATCAGTTTGTAGAATCACGTCATAAGACAGATCCTTTATTTTTGAAGCAGTGGTTGAGAAGTCTAAGTTTCATTTACGAAATCCCGGATTTGAACTGTGTTTTGCCTACTTCGGTTTGGGCAACCATATAGTATCATTAGCTCTTGCACAGATTGGCTCATATCCAAGCACCCAGTGAGTTATGCAACTGTACAAGTTGTCCTGTTCTAGAAGAACAGCCTTTCAGTCATCCACAACACAGCTTGAGACAAGTGTATCATTTATAACTCGCAACCAAGTAGGATGCATTTACCTAGAAAAATAGCACTCGCTTTGGTCGAAGTACATCATACAAATCAGTTGCAAATAATAAAATTTGTGCACAGGTCCTAGTACTAATCAGCAGGAAATAATTCCGATGACTAACCATATCAATCGTTTCAACTCATTGTTTATGAACCTAATTATTTGAGCGGCTTATCTTCTACGTAGTCTACCGTCCTATTATATCTAATATAGCTTGTTTACATAATCTATGGCTTATATGCTGGTAAATAACGGTGTTTTTTCACAAATATTTTAGACTAGCAAGCAAGGAATTGTCAGCTTAGTCAACACAGTTTATCGGTCTGTTACTTCCTACCTATCCCCTGAAGACCGTGGCAAAATGCTGGCAAAGCTTACACGAAGTTCCAGTGTTCAATTCTGTAAAGCATTCTGGAATTTAGCAGAATTACGTGTAGTATCTGAAGCCCCCAATGTAATTTTACCTTCTATGGCTGTAGCTCACTCTTTCAAATTACAAACAAAATCGTTAAAAGTACCTCTAGATACGAACATTCTGGAAGACGAAAAAGGTTCGTTTGTCGTTCTAATAAAATGTATATATTGTCTTTATGTGAACAATCCATAATTAATATCCTAAAGAGTAGAAAAAATTAGATTTTCTGACGTTTTGTGACTCGGCGTAAGCCACTTCTTCAGAGAATGAATAACCAAATTAACGTTAATCCAAGTTTAAGTAGTACAACTGCTTAGTATTCTTGGACACCAATACACTCGACAAGTCCCCGAATCAGAACACGGTTGAACAGGGAAGAAATTATATTCCGAATAACAAGGATAGATGGAAAGTAAGAGGCACAATGAGAAATACGTTAGTGTATTTATAGTTTTTACATGAAAAGATTCTAGAGTCTTCTCCGAGTATCGACTAGCGTTGATTGGATAAGAATTAGCCAATCAGCGTGCACCAACACAATCGTGCATGGAACATGTTTTAATCCAATCTATGTCCCGCTTACGAAGTTCTATGTTGCAATGCATCTGAATAACTTAAAAACATAGTAATAAGTCTTGGTGGCAGAAATAATTGAATCATACATTCGAGTAGCCTTTTTTAAAAGAGGTTAGTATATAGTAATGGTTTCATTGAAGGATTTTCCCACAATGCTTTATACCTATTAATGTCTGTAGTGCAATCGTCATGTTCTTGGATAGAGCCACGTAAAAGAACAAGTCTGTGTGTTACATCATACCACGTCTAAAACTTGCCAGGTTCTTTAACGTTTGTTAATGGTTAAAATTTAAGAAGTTACTAACCATCAATCCACGAAATTTTTCGATCGACAATGTTCTCAATATATGTATCAGATAACTGAATCTGCCTGTCATGGGAATATATTTTTATTATTTATCCCGGTTTATTAGTAGAATCGTTTAGTTCTAAATGAGTTTAAATCTTAATTCAATAGAGTTCAGAAAGTTTCAATCTATTCGGGTGTTGTCGTATGGAAGTATCCTTATCCCAGAGTTATTATTTTTATATAAACACACAACAGGAGTTTAGAAAAAAAAGACACTAAAAATAACATCTCACCTTACTCAACGGATTTTCGTCGCTCATGGTAAAATCTCTAAAGTAAGGAGCTAACGCATCAATGAGTATTCGCATAAAGACCGTATGCGACTGGCCTCAAAAAGTTATCACTTGGGCTCCACAGCCACGCCTCCAGGTTGTCAAAACCACACCTAGCCCAGTCTTTTTTACATGTCATTCAAAAATTATCCTTTTACAGTGTGGAAAACTGATGGAAGAAAGTTAGAGGCGGCCAAATCAAATTTTATTATTTATTTAAACACATATATATCGATACAAAAGGGCACCAGGTACATATGCGCCACACAAAATAATGAAAGTAGGAAGAGAAGGGATGAAAAGATAAGGCGGACTGAAATGTACAACCAGAAGACTCTTTCAGTTAAGAAAGTTAGAACCATTCTTTATGTAGAAAGTAAAAAAAGGTTGCAGCAGGATCGCCACTGGCTTCTATTCTGAGCCATATCTGATAACGTCTCTAGCCACTGTGTTGCACCATCTCTCGGACCCCAGCCAGGGAGTCGTGAAGGACCAACAGAAGCTAGCCCTTTGCAGCTTTCTTTCATGCCACGACACCATGTCATACACTGACCTCCTCTCCGCTTTTTCCAACCAGTCCCAGGGTCGGCAAATAATGCACGACGTGGAAGCCTCTGGGACGACATTCGTAAAGCATGTTCAAGCCACCGAAGTCGGTGTTTCAAGATGGTGACACCAATTGAATTATCGTCTCTGCGCCCGAACACACGATGCCGAACCTCTGCATTACTAACATGGTGTTGCCACTGTATGTCAGCAATCCTTCGGAGACAACGATGATCGAACACAGAGAGTCGTCTAACATCCTCAACTCGGAGAGGCCAGGTTTCACAAGCATAGAGCAAAACTGCTCTCACCGACGCGTTGTAGATCCGACCTTTTACAGCCAGACTAACATCACGAAGGCGCCAAAGATGGCCCAGATTGGCATAAGCCGCTCTGGCTTTCATTATACGTGCATCAATCTCATCACTCACCCCCCAACCAGCACTTATATAGCTACCTAGATACACGAACTTCTCAACTACTTCGATCTCCTCACCATCCAGGGTGAGTACAGGATGAGAATCCTGCCAGTCTTGTAGGAGTACTTTGCACTTGGAGGGTGCAAAGCACATGCCGTACCTGCGGACACTGATTGTCAACTGATTAAGTGCGGATTGCATGGCTTGAGCATTATCGCCCAGTAAGACAATATCATCCGCATACTCAAGGTCGAGAAGTCGTTCTCCAGGCAACATATCCAGACCTCCATTACTTGCATCCATCAGAGCTGTTTCCAGGATGTCGTCGATAGCAAAGTTGAAGAGGAATGGTGAGATCGGGCAACCCTGCCTAACCCCACTGCTCGAATGGAACAAGGGATAAAGGTGGTTGTATGCCATCACTCTGCCTGAGGTGGGTGAAGATGTGATCAATGCATCCTCGACCAGAACGAAAACCAGCCTGCTCCTGGCGAGTCAATCGTTCTCGGGTTTTAAACAACCTACGAAGAATGACAGAAGCCAATAGTTTGGACGCAATCGAAAGTAGACTTATCCCCCGATAGTTATTGCAGGAACAACGTGAACCCTTTTTAAAGATAGGGACGACTATCGACTCATTCCATGATGTTGGAACACTTTCTTGCTCCCAAACCTTTCCAAACAACGCAGTCAATTCCTTAGTCAGGTCACCACCATCTTTAAAAAGAGCCGGAGGTAAGTCATCTGGGCCCGGTGATTTGTAACGTTTCAAGAGTTGGAGTTCCTTGAGGACTTCTGCTTCGTTTGGTGGATCAGTCGTCACCGGCCAAGGGGGCAGGACAAGCCGGTTGATGTTGCCGGAGCAGCAGGCCAGTTGAACTGCCCTTCGAAGAATTCCGCCCATCGTCCAAGACGTCGAGAGATATTAGTGATTGGCATCCCATCATCCTCGTAGATTGTTTCACTCACACCAGACTTCTTGCTGCCAGTGGCTCGGATGAGTTGGAAGAGCTTCCGGGAGTTACCAGATGCAGCTGCTGCTTCCATCTCATTAGCACGCTCCGACCACCAGGCTTCCCGGTCCTTACGCAAGCTTTGCCCGATTTCATTACGTAACAGCCTTCGTTTGTGGTCAAACTCACGGTCACCCGGAGTAGACCGACGGGCTTCCATCAGTTGTAAGGAGCCAGAAGAAACCCAGTGCTTGTAAGCGGGACGTTTCGCGAAGCCGCAAGCGGCTTTACTCGCCATTTTCATGGCGTCGTGAAGAAGCAACCAATGCTCATCTATACTTTTCGGTGGGGTGGTAGCTAGCTTAGAGGCTAGCTCCGCTCGATACTTACTTGCAACAGAAGTTGCAGCCAGTTTACTAACATCAATCCGTTGGTGGTGGTCAACCCTTCGGCCACTGAAAAGTAAGATGAGGTTGGCGCAGACCAGGGCATGATCAGACTTCAGATAGGTACTCCAAAAGGAGCGGCAGTCTTGTACACAACCACGCCAGCGGTAGCTGATCGCGATGTGATCAATCTGAGTCCAGGTTTGGGCTGCAGAGGGAGGACGCCAGGTGGTACACCGGCGATGACTGTTCCGGAAGTTAGTGCTGGCCAGAAACAGGTTGTGGTCTGTGCACAGTTGCAGCAAACGGTCCCCGTTATCTGTCCTGCGACCAACAAGTTCCCATGGGCCACCTAAACGACTCTCTTCTGTGCCTAGACGCCCGACCTGTGCATTCAAGTCTCCGGCTAGTACTACAATATCTGTCGAACGCGCTTTCTGGAGAAGAACTGTTAACTGATGGTAAAACTCATCCTTGATTGCATCCGGGCTGCAATCTGTCGGGGCATAGGCGAAGATAACGAAAAGACACCGTTTCTCACGCCGATTTCTTCTCACTTTGATGGAACTTTCTAATCTAACAGCACATAACCGACTGTTAATGGGGATCCAATCGATTAGTGCTGCCTCAGCCCTAGCGCTTAGTGCGACACCAACGCCAGCAAGACCAGACGAAGATGCCACAGGGTCCCCGGATAAGCGCACGTGGAACAAGCTCTTCGAGGCGACAGATGGAGAGCGGATTTGTAGTACTTCACTAGAGTCTTGAATACGGGTCTCGGATAGACAACAAACATCAACATTAAGACCTTCCAAAGACATAGCCAGCCCTATCTGTTGTCTGATATGCATTAGTGTGCGAACGTTGAAGGAAGCCAGCTTGAACGGCGTACGTGGTTTCAGAAAGACTGCTTCAGTATTCATTATCGGTGGAAGCATTTACTTTCAACCAGACAGTAACTGGAGATCGTTTAGATAGGACAGATTTTCCACCATGGGCGAGCTGCTGCATAAGTTGAAAAGTAAGGTTACACAAATTGAGGATAAAAGGGGGTGAGTTAGCGATATGGTAAATAATAATAATAATAATAATAATAATAATAATAATAATAATAATAATAATAATAATAAAGGTAATAATAATAATACTAATAATGTAAATTGTCTTGCTTCTAGTATGAGCAGGAATAGTATCGTCAATAGAGTTCATAATTTCATTTATTTGTGTGTGGGCTGTGATACTGCCCGGGTGCCCAAACCGAAGCAGGTAGTTTTCTTAGGGGGCCACACCCCGAGCCTTTGACCAAAAGGTCTGATCCACAAGGCAGTGGAGCATCGTGAGGAGATGCAGTCCCATGGTAGCCGGTGATCAGTGATTGATTCGTACGCCATTTGTTCCATCAGGATACTGGAGCCCATGTGCACCATTGGTTTGGAATCAGGGTTTTCCAACTCCCCTAGGTGGACTCGCAGTGTCCACCAACTCGGCTAAAGCGCCGGACATTCGCTGTTCGTCCTCTCACTTTCGTAAACAACACCCCCGCCGCGAGAAGGCAGTGAGTAGGACTTCCCTGGCAGAGGCTATGTATTTGCTGGCCATGTGAGAGCATTTCGAGAGGGAGAGTAGACTCTCCCCACTCTCGGCCGTACCAGGGCATTTGGGGGCGGCCAAATCAAAACATGGCATCAGTCCATAATGTCACTAACTTCTGGTCTGAGCCATTTTGGTAGATGCAGACTGCTTGGCTGGGGTCTGCGCGACCGTCGTGGTTGGAGACTCTGGTTGACATTGCTCAGAACCGATCACAATGGCGTAGATGTATACACTCTTTGTTTTCCCCTAAACCGTGGGATTAAAATTACTTTATACCTTTCTTTCTACGAATTAATTCTTTCTCCCTGTCTCATATCCTTATATACAATCTCTATTAGTGTGTATTACTAGCATTGAAGCAACTGCTTCTATAAATTTTGTGTTCATCGTGCTGTACTAATGAGGTATGGCAACTTGGACGGACTCATATATGTGTCTGGTCCTATATTGTAGATGGCTGATCGACTGTGAAAAACTGCAGACTGACGATAACACATACTGTGATAGTTTTTTCATACGTAAACAATTGGAGCTATTGAATCCCAGTTTTATTATGTGGATTTGTCTGGCTTGCATTCATTATTGGTTCATGTAGTGTTGAAATGCCATATATAGTCTGATATTGTTAATAATTCGGACTTGTGTTTCAAATGACTTTTCATTTTCAATTAACCGAATAGTTTTGTTGCAAGAACATCTGAAGCTTCCTATCAAAGTTTTCAGTATTATAATTACAGATTTTCTTCAACCTCCATATCCTGGCAGATAATGATTAATTTATTTTTGAAAATCAACAAAAGGAAAATAACAAACATTTAACAACAGGCAATTGATGTGGCTTATTAGATTGGTCAGTTAATATGATATTAAATGCTGGTTTGAGGTCTGAGGGTGATTTTCCTATCTCAGTTTCCCACACCGTAAAAGGATAATTTTTGAATGACATGTAAAAAAGACTGGGCTAGGTGTGGTTTTGACAACCTGGAGGCGTGGCTGTGGAGCCCAAGTGATAACTTTTTGAGGCCAGTCGCATACGGTCTTTATGCGAATACTCATTGATGCGTTAGCTCCTTACTTTAGAGATTTTACCATGAGCGACGAAAATCCGTTGAGTAAGGTGAGATGTTATTTTTAGAGTCGATCTTTTTTATCCTCTCCTTTCCTCATAGGAAAAATAGGTTGTCCTCTTCTGATGTTATTTTCAATATCCCCTTTAAAATCGGCTTTTATATACACAGGTTTCTTGTTGATCATAACTTATTTTCCAAAATATCAGTATCTTCATTTTTTCCAAGTATATCTGTTAATCTCCGTGATTAACCGTTTTTTTTCTAGGAATTTCTCGACTTCCAAAACCTACTTTTCTAACTTATAGGTTTTATCTATCCTCCCCATCGTTTTGGAGCTTCTTATAAACATCTTCCAGTTCAGTTATTCAGTCAGTTTATTATTTAACTATTGGTACAAGGAGACAGAAAATATGTGTCATACAAATCATTCGATTTTTGCGAGGAGAGTTAGCATTCCCTCGAAATGCTCTCACATGACAACGTGTATGCAACCAATGCTACAAAAGTCCTACTCACTGCCTTCTCGCGGCGGGGGTGTTGAGAGGACTTAAAGTGAGTGTTCGGCGCTTTGACCGGGTTAGTGGATATGGAGGATCCACCTAGGGGAGTTGGTAAATCCTGATTCCAAACCAATGATGCACGTGAGTTCCAGGATCCTGAAGGAACCAATGGTGTATGAACCAATTGTTGGTCACCGGCTACCATGGGACTGCATCTCCTGACGTTGCTCCACTGCCTTGCGGATTAGACCTTTAGGTCAAAGGCTCTGGATGTGGTCTCCAAGGTAACCATCTGCTTCGGTCTTGGCACCCGGGCTGTATCCTAGCTCTCACATAAGTCAAACGATTTATGTGGCGCTTATCTATTTCGTACCTCCTTTTACCAGTGTTTATATGTTTAAATAAAATATATAATAAATAAATTGCGAGGACTGGAATACTGTCCGAGCGCCCAAACCGAAACAAGTGGTTTTCTCAGGAGGCCACTCCACAAGCATTTGATCCAGAGGTCTAATCCACAAGACAGTGGAGCAACGTTAGGAAATGCAGTTTAATGGTATGCGGTAACCAACAATATTTCCATACTCCATTTGCTCCCTCAGGATCCTGGAACCCATGTGCACCATTGGTAGAAATCGGAGGAAGAGCTGACTCTCCCCACCCTTAGCCGTACCAGGGCATTTGGGGGAAATTTAGTCAGTGAATCGCTCAGGTACACTTCAGTGATTAAATTTGAGGTTCATTAGGTAATATCTCAATTCATATCCAGTCACTTGTCAATATGTAAATTTCCTGCACGAACTACTTCTTGTACTTACAACTTTTTATGCATCTTGATGAAACATTTTGTTTTCGTGCTTTTAGTAGAATATTATTACAAGTTCTCCTGTAACGGAAATCACGTGACTAATTTCTTTCTTTGGACTTTTAGCATATAATGTATATGTATTCATCTGCTTTAAAACATTTAGTCCCTTTGATAAATTTGATAATGCAATGAGAAGACGAAGGTCATCAGAATTATATGATATATTTGCGCAATACATTTCGAACAATCAGATCACACATATACTTGTTAAGACATTTTTATATGAAAATTAAAAGGTCAACTAGACAGGTTAAAGGTAAGCTGTAACAAAGAAATAAGAAATAAATAAAGTACATAGAAACAATGATAATCACTCTGGATAATAAATCAGTATTAGTATGTTAGGTTAAGGGTAAGAACAAATTGTCTTTGAACACATAAAGAGGGTCTCAATTTCCGTATAGCCAAGGCTTCTATAAACCTTGGCATGTGTCCTTGAATATTAAAATATCTTGACGAGTATATGTATGATCAGATTGTTCGAAATGTATTGCGTAAATATATCACGTGATTCTGATAAACTTCGTCTTCTCATTGCATTACGGAAATATCCATATGCCTCAAGCGTAGAACAACACACACTACTGCACTGTAGATTCCAATGTTTCTTCAACGTATAAACAACCTAAATTGATATTTTAGCACTGATTGAAGAAGCTCAGTTGATCTTTGCCGATTTGCGTCACTTATGGCGTAAGCAAGTTGTTCATCTGCCAACCAAAGGATGATTTTACTGCTCAGCAGTTCCCTCTGTTGTAATTTATGGGCTACTAATAAAATAAGATATTTGTAAGTTACTAATATTGGATCATAGGTGTCTTTGAACCAATGCTGGTGTATTTTGGGACCAACGAGTGAGCAATTTTGAGGTTAATGGTTAGGGTATTAGGTAAAGATGTCAAATCGGTTGATAAGATAGTGAACCTTCATCAACTAAGATGTGTTAGGTTTCTCCAATCACCTACTTAGAGTAATATTGTTTGATGTAGAAGTAGTCTGGAAGATATCTGATGGCGACCAAAACAATATGTAACACCAGTTCATCAAGTTATCGATCATTGAACTGAGCCATCCAAGTAGGTGTTCGTTACTTAGTTGGGGTCCGCGTGACTATCGTAACCAATAGTTAGAAACCCTAAGTGATATGGCCTCAAATGCATCCATTCTTTGTCTTTTCTTAGATCCTGGATTCTGAAATCACCTTATATCTTTCGTTCCCTTTTTTATATACTTAGTTTATTCTGCTACTACAACTACCATTACTGATACTCACTACTTCCATTACCCTGTGACTTGTTTTGATAATTTTATTTCTCTGTACTAATGTAATGTGGCAACCTGAACCGATGGACTTACTTGCATCGTTTTACCATCATCCTCATATTTTCCATATTGATTTTCTAAACAGAATTCATTGTAATAGAACCACCGAAATCACATTTTGGTACAGCTCCACTAGGAATGCGTATATTATGTCGTCATCTTAGATCTGGTTTACGATGGACTCGAACAACTGAATCTCCCAAATTTTTCGAGTCACCTAACTGCATAAATCAATCAAATCATCACTCAAGTAGAAATTCAATACCATCATTATCATCGTACAATTCGCGATTCTTTCCATCCAACAACTCGTCATCTGTTGTTTTTTCCAACCCAAATGATCGTCGTTATTCGTATGAAAGTTCTAAATTTTCAAATACTTCAACTGAGAATAATACAGATAAATCGCCTTATATATTGTTTTATGTACACGGTGGTGGATTTATTGCTTTAACATCTCAGTCACAGGATGTAAGTCACATTTGCATCCTTACCATCAAACAATAACATTATACGTATGTTTTGTTGATTAGTACATACAACCTGTTATATTGTCTTATTTTCTTCTCTTTATTGTGTTCATAATACTTCCTATTATCACTGGTTAATTGAAACTACTTAATTGTTAGAAACTTGACAAAACCTTATTTTAGGTGTCAGAAAATTCAAAGCAGTCAGTTAGTCAAACATAACGTGAAACCTGGTACGTATATACATCAGTTTAAGTTGCCTTACCCAACGGTCAGTTTATGACAATCTTGATACCAACCATAGATAGCTAATTTTTGTACGTGCTCATCTGCAACTGTAGATTGTGATTATCAAGTGAGAACTTGTACTCTTTTGCTGAAACTGAGGTAGACAGAGTGGGTTTAGAATATGTGATTAAGTGGCTAAAATCCTGACACCTTTACTACTCATCTATTGCTTTATCGTAAACATTAACCAGGAAGTCCGCACCTACCAATAGGTTTAAAATTGGCAGGAAGTGACCTCACGGACTATTATTTAATTATTTATTTACTTAAACACAAATATTGTTACAAGGACGCAACAAACATGTATGCATCACACAAATCATTCGATTTTTGAGAGGACTGTAATGCTGCCCGAGCGCCCAAACCGAAACAAGAGGTTTTCTCAGGAGGCCATTTCCCAAGCCTTCGACCTAGAGGTCTAATCCACAAGACAGTGGAGCAACGTTAGGAAATGCAGTCTAATGGTATGCGGTAACCAACAATATTTCCATACTCCATTTGCTCCTTCAGGATCATGGAACCCATGTGCACCATTGTTTCGAAATCGGAGTTTCGGGACTCTCCCAGATGGGTCCTCCATACTCACCAACCCGGTTAAAACACCAGACATTTACTTTTGGTTCTCTCAATTTGGTAAACAACTCCCCACCTCGAGAAGGAAGTGAGTAAGACTTCTCTGACAATGGATGTATTGTTGTAGCTATGTGAGAGCATTTCGAAAGGAAGAGCTGACTCTTTCCACTCTCGGCCGTACCAGGGAATTCGGGGGCACCAACAAAAATGATCACTAAGTTGCAGTCAACGTTTATGACTGCATTGATCAGTTTGATAACCAGGTAGCATCACTAGTACTACCAAGATTATTTATTTCATCGTCAACTATTATTATTATTATTTTTATTATTTAAACACGTAAACATTGGTACAAGGAGGCACCAAATAGTAATAATAATTCGATTTGTTTGAGGGCTGGGATACAGCTCGGGTGCCCGAACCGAAGCAGGCATTTTTGTACTCAAACTATTCTGTGCTTGTAGATCTGATAATCTAAACGATGTGGTTATGAGTAGCAGAGATGGATAGTGGCTAGCAGTAGAATCCAGGACGCGCGTTTCGTCCTATTTGGGACTCGTCAGCTGGATGTACCTGGATCTCAGAGTTGATGTTCACTCTGGGACTGACCAGACTGACCAGTTGCAGTCCTAACAAATCGATGGGAAGATTCAAACAAACAATACTAAGTTGAATTTAAACTTCACCCCATCGCACAAGCAAGTGGCTATCAGGACTCAGTGGCCAAGTGGATAACGCGATGGCATTTGAAGCGAGGGCACTGGGTTCGAGTCCAAGAGTGAACATCAACTCTGAGATGCAGGTACACCCAGCTGAAGGGTCCCAAATAGGACGAAACGCGCGTCCTGGATTCCACTGCTAGCCACTATCCATCTCTGCTAACCATGCTTGTGAATTAAGGTATATCGAGGCATTACGCACAATATGCACATATGTCAATTAGAGACTGACCAGTTGCAGTCCTAACAAATCGATGGTAAGATTCAAACAAACAATACTAAGTTGGATGTGGTTATGACTTTAAAAAATGTAAAACAGAACACCTATGCTTAAAACCATTGTAACTTCCGTGAAATTTTGACAATAATCACTTGCCTTTTTTTACAAATAAATTTTCAAATGATTCTATTCGTTATGTCCGAATGTTATTGCACACTCAGTGCAAATTCTATCCTTATCAATCTGAAGACAAACGTAGTTTTTAAAGTTTAGTTTGTTTGTTTTATGATGCAAAAAACAACCAAACAAATCGGGATTGTTAACTAAGTTCTTTACTGATCTTTTCCTGTAAGTCGTTTGCGCCGTTTAAAATGTTCATTATTTATTTTAAAGATTTTGTTTCTATTATTCTAAGAGGTTTGTGGAGGTTGTAGGCTTTTCGTAGGTTATATCGTGGGTTAATCTTAGACAGTGATTGAAAACCAGAAAGCACTGAATAACTAATGCATTCTAGTATGTGATGTGTCTGAAAATAAACAGATTTTCTTGTATAGTCATTTGGGCTCGTTGGATCGTACTGTATGGATCTAGTCCGAGTATTGATTAGCTTGCCTAGACTATCTATCTATCTAGCACCAATGACGCGCTAATTGTTAGTTAACAACCGAGAGTACCACTAATTGACTATTGGTCCAAACAACAGTTTCCCACACTAGTTCTTTCGCTTGTCCGACAGTCAGAATAGAGAACTCAGCAAGCAGATAACCTCTAATTACACAGTTTGAACTTACGAATCACTCATAAAACAATATAGGATAGGACCCTGACCACATGTTAATAGGATTGAGAAACTACAATATTGAGCATAACAACCACAAGTTGAATAGGACTGAATGATAAGTCCGTAATAGATAAACAATGGTTTAGGAAAAGTGAAACACACAACAATGGTTTATGCGTCAAACAGAAGCTTATAGGTAGAGGAATACACCATATAATAGTTTAATTATTGAATAATCATACTGCAAAACAACAAAAACAACTTCAGATAGGAAGATTCTGAAGGCTAGCTTTTGCTCAATATTTATCCCAACATAGCAATATGGAGCTGCTCGTCAGTGTGCATTCACAACCCGATAAAAACAGCTGTCTAGTGCTTTTTGGTTTTCAATAGCTGTCTAAGGAAGATCAATCGGTGATGCAATCTAGGATACTTTTTTATCTGTATTTTCTAATGTATTCATGAGGCATTCTGTCAATATTTAATTTAATTTTAGAACTTTTTACGTATATGGGCTGAACAGTTAAACTGTCCAATTATAGCAGTAGATTATTCACTTTCACCTGAAGCTCCTTATCCACGTGCATTAGAAGAATGTTATTATGCCTATTGTTGGATAACATTAAATCGTGAAAACTTGGGTTGTACATCGGATGCGAAAATTGTTCTTGCTGGTGATTCCGCTGGTGGGAATCTGGCACTAGGTGTTTGTATGCGCGCTGTACGAGATCGCTTACTTAATAAACCAAGTGGGATATTTTTGGCTTATACACCTGTATTGGTTTCTTTTACACCATCTCCTTCAAGATTATTATCACTTTGTGATCCCCTACTTCCTATTGGTGTTCTTTCTAAATGTTTATTGGGTAAGCTCACTTTAGTGTATATTTAGACATTTGTCAAGTTCACCATAACTCATTAATCAATTATAGGTTTAGTAACTCAGATGCTAGTTACACACTTGATATGAACTTTATTAATACTACACGGCTAGTTAGATTGTTGTAAATTGGAGTTGAGTCTAGCAAACAGTCATTAATGAATCTATAGACACATTGTCGTAATTTGATAGCTATCTGTCAGATGGTCATAAATTTTCTGGTTCGAATATGATGCTTCTTGAACTATGAAATACACGTTATATATATATATATATATATATATATATATATATATATATATATATATATATATATATATATATATATATATATATATATATATATATATATATGAGAAATAGTGTTATTGTTAGTACTGGTATTGTGGCGATATGTTGGTTTAAAACGACTGAATTAATGGTGGAGCAAAGTAACTGATCACGTCGGACACTTTTTTTGTAAGTCTCGTCAGAACTGGTGGATTAGTGTCTGGAAGGATCTCCGTATGACTTAAGAAAACCCTGTTGAATTGACGTATCCGATACCCATCCATTTACTAACTAATGGTGGAAGTATACTCAAATGCAGATGAAGACAGCAAATGTAGCAGCAGCCTCTGCATCGATAGGTCTCCACATTCACAAAGGAAAAAGCAAGATTCTCAAATGCGACACGGAGAACACCAACTCAATCACACTTGACGGCGAAACTCTGGAAGAGGTGGAAACATTCAAGTACCTGGGGAGCATCGTTGATAAACAAGGGGGATCGGATGCAGATGTAAAGGCAAGGATTGGCAAAGCAAGGGCAGCATTTCTACAATTGAAGAACATATGGAACTCAAAACAACTCTCAACTAATTTCAAGGTGATAATCTTTAACACGAACGTCAAAACAGTCCTACTGTATGGAGCTGAAACGTGGAGAACTACTACGGCCATCATCAGGAAGGTACAAGTATTTATAAACAGTTGTCTACGCAAAATACTCAACATCCATTGGCCGGATACTATCAGCAACAGCGTTTTATGGGAGAGGACAAACCAGCTTCCAGCTGAAGAGGAAATTAGGAAAAGACATTGGAAGTGGATCGGACATGCATTAAGGAAATCACCAATGTGCATCACGACTCAATCCCTAACTTGGAATCCGGAAGGGAAGCGGAAAAGAGGAAGGCCAAAGAACACACTACGCCGGGAAATAGAAGCCGATATGAAAAGGCTGAATAGTAACTGGAAAGAACTGGAAAGGAAGGCTCAGGACAGAGTTGTATGAAGAATGCTGGTGAGCGGCCTATGCTCCTCCACATGGGGTAACAGGCGTAAGTAAGTAAGTAAGGTGGGAGTATACTGCTCCACAGTTCGTTCTGTTTTGCTTTATGACTGTGGAACATGGCCTTTAAAAATAGAGGTTATTTATAGGTTACTAGTATTCATCGTAACCAATGGTTGTAAGACGCTGGGTGATATTGCTGAATATCAAATTCAGTTGCTCAGTAGCACTAACTCTTTATCTTTCTTTAGATCTTGAGTTTTAAAGTCGTCTTATACCATATTATTCTACTTATGTATTCTTCCTGATTCATATTTTGTATGACATGTTTCCTACAATCACTAATACTGTTACCACTTTTACTACTCTGGTATTTTCTTGATCATTTCTTCTATCTGTGATAAAATGAACTGACCCATAGATGTGCTAGGTTTCATATTCCTTATGACCGGTTGGCTGAGTGGTTAATATATTGACTACTATCATTTTGATGTGAAACCTAATATTTTCCCAGAAATATAGTTGATACTTATAAAATATATATTCATTATTAACTTTCTACCCATTGCTCAATTTATTTGAAATTATCAAGTCCAACCTTGTCATCCATACTTATGTTTCAACCAATTTAATTGACTTATCACTTTATTGTTTATAGCTTATGCTGGTATAGACGAAGCAAGATTGGATTCCGACAAACTTGGTGATAATTTTGAAGTTGATGAAAATCCTTCAAACTTAACAACTGAACAAAATTCCCCAATATGGTCCCGATTATTTTCAACATTTTGGTCCAATCCACCAAAATTAGATTTAAATAATTCTAAAGAGTTAAAAATTGGACATTTACGTCGATATTCAAACATAACAATGTCTCCTTTATATGATACTTATTTTCAAAATCCAAAAGATCAATCTATGCCCTCTAATTTATATAGGTTAAGCGAAAACTCTCACTTCCTACATAAATCCCCAAAGTGGAATAAATCAGGTTCGTTATTTTGTATCTGTCGTCTACATTCTGTCTAATGTGTCATTTAGTGTACTAAATATTAAAAAAATGTGGTTGCTTCTAAAACTCTGTTCTGGTGAAGTTGATAACATCTGATGTAAGGTGGTGTTTGAAGGTAGTCGATAGGAAGTCCTAGACCTTGGTTTAGTTCTGTTTGACACTTGTCAGCAAGGTGTATATGTAGTCTTCAGAGAAATGAAACTATCTTGCACATTTAGTCCTGTATCACTCAGCTTCACAGTCAGAGGCGTTACCACTGAGTTATTAGAGTCACAACTGAGCTTCTGTAGGACTAAGATGTGTTTAAAATTGATTGACCACTGGGTAGTGACCAATATCATGTTTGCCTAGTCATTTTTGGCGCTAATCGAATTTCTTTGATCAAGCTTCAATGTAGCTAATAGTTCAAATGACTCGATATCGCATGGACTATGTTGACTTGGAGGGTGGTGGTTGGTGGTGATTGACAGGAAACCCTGGACCTAGATTTCGATCGATAGAATTCGATCAACGCTAGGAAGAACTTGACATACACAACATTGGTCACTATTCAACGGTCAATCAGTCATAAAAGAACACTTAATGTAATAAGCTTTCATTAGACTAATCAGTATGCTAGTACTTTTAATAGCTATTAATATTAGTGACCAGACAGTCCAACAGCTGAACTCATTTAACACACAACGGCTATATTGTCGACGTTCTCAAATTTCCAAAAATGATTAACCGATAAAAAGATGCAATTTCATTAAACTTCACCGAAGCAACATCGATTAAAAACATCTAAGGCAGATCCATGCGTTCAGGAAAAAAGTTGTATGGGAAATGGGTATTTTTGGTTAAATGCTCTACGGTTACTATTATTAGTACTATTTCCATTATGTTATACAATGTTCACTTAACTAATTACTGTTTCGTCCCTCTTTAGGTTTCTTTCATATCTATCTTTAAATAACCGTACAGATGTATAGTACTGAGAATCGTTATCACCTCAATTTTCCAATTTCTATTTAATATTATGTTATATCTCAATATGAATACAGTTGTAAACAGCTAATGAGTACCTACGAAACGACACAAAAATGAGTGCATATTATTCTGCGTTAGTTCTTATCCTTACTTTATTCAAACCAATAACAAATGTGTTAAACTGGATGATTAAACGTTTATGACCAAGTATTGAGGTCCAGAAAGTATCTAGCAACAATAATATTCATCATTTGGTAGAAAATATACTGTCTTTTGTAGTTGTTTTTAGCTAATTTGTTCAGTTCTTCAGTACACCTGATTTATACTAATCTATGTTGAATGAAACACGATGGCTCAGTCGTCCGACTTGTAGGATTTATTCTGTCCTACAGTTATACTATTAGAATTATAAACGTGATACTGGCGATCCCAGAGTCTATGTGAAAGCTATAATCAGAATAAGGACAACTTGGCTTTAAACTTTATTCGTTTCTAAACATAAAAACAATTAGATTAGTACAATAGTTAAAGAATTACAATCCTTAAGTGAAACGCACAAACGTACCGATCAGTATTGCGTGTCTTATCGAAATGAATAAAATTTATGTCACATTAATATAATAGGATAATAATGTCTTTCAATTGGTAGGTCATATACAGCGGGGATAGTTTACAGACACATCAGACCAGATTGGCGTGGTGGGAGCTTAAGCAACGATTTGATTGGTTAGTTATGGACATAACTAACACGACTTTCAACCACTAGACTGCAGGCTCGAGTTCTGTTCCACCTACTTCAATTTAGGCAACTGGACATTACCATCAGCCATATAGGTCCAAGTCGAGTAAGCTAGCCTGAACTTGATAAGTTACTTCATCAAGAATTTCGATTAATCATGCACTTATATTTTGTTCCGTATGACTTAGATATTTTATTTTATCAACATACTTATCCCTTACAATTGAATTTTCTCATGTTTCCATAATTCACGAAGAGAAAGAAAAAAACCCAGACCATAATGAGGATGAATGTACACCAATATCGAAACATCCTCGTCGACCCCCAACCGATTTGAACCGTATTCGAAATATTCAATTAATTCAGAATGGATTCATGTCACCATACTTAGCTTCAGATGATATGCTACGTGGGTTACCTCCTGTTGTTATTGTCGTAAGTGAAGTGGGTTTTTGTGTGCATGCATGTGCGTTTCTATGATGTCAAGAAAATGAGTAAAATATGAATTTTTCCTGGAAATAACTCACACAATTATCTTCTACAAGGGTGGGGTTTAATATCTGTTATGACTGCAAATTTATAGATATCTAGAGGTTTACCAATCAGAATCCTATTTATTAACCTCGTGTTTACTACTTCGTCTGTAGCCTAGTGACCTAAGATTCGATGAATAATAGTTATTGACTGGCAAGATTAACCCTAAATTGAAGCCTAGATAATCTCAATTCCTATTACTCCACCGATACCCATGCCTTGTTCTATCGTCAGTTTTGAGTCCGAACAAGAAAACACATCGGTCAAGCCTCATACTGTGGGGCACCCTGTATATTAATCTCAAACACTCGCTAGCAGATATACGTAAACTTTCAGATTACAACTCAACCAAAATATGAAATCATACTTTAAATACAGAGAACGGAGCAAACTCTAGATGATTAGGAATAATTAAGAAATATGAAATCATAAAACTGTAGTTGATAAGTACAACGAAAGCTGGCAGTACTGGGAATGTAGAAATGCAATAATCTAATTACCTAATAATTATATGACAAAGATGTAGACAATAATAGTAGTCCGTATATTACTTCCAAAAGTTAAAACAATCTCAGTAGTTGGGATCTGTTTGAAAATACGTTGTATATATGTACATTAAGAATGAAATTTACCGAACGTTTATTCATTTTATTGACTTTGGGCCACATTATTTGTAAAGGCTAGTGATACCACTTGGCTGCCCAAACTAAAGTAGCTGAAGTAGGACTCGAACCTGTGAGATAGTAGTCAAAAGTCGAGTGCGTTAACCTCTAAGCCATCCTTTGAGTTATTTAGTACCGAAGCTACCATTCAACGTAACCAGTATTTGCCTTAAATATGATTATGTGCTAAATATCATTATATATATATATATATATATATATATATATATATATATATATATATATATATATATATATATATATATATATATAATCTTTGTTTCTCTTCTCTAGTGTTCACATTTCGATCCATTTTTGGATGATGGACTGGAGTTGGCTAAACGCCTTTCTAAACTTGATGTCTCAGTAGATATACGTGTCTTAGATGATTTACCTCATGCATTTCTTAATTTTTGTCTGTTAGGCCCAGAATTTCAAATTGCTAATAAGATTTGTATTGAATTAGTAAAAAATTTATTCCATGAATATTATATAAAAAATAATGAATAATTTATTTCTAAAATATTGATTATCTATGCGCCTCACTTTCCCTTCTTATCATACTACTTATTACTTTTCATATTAGTAGTAGCTGTGATATCCAGTGTTGTCTTTTTTCTTTTTTAATTCTTTTTCTTCTTCACATCAAATAATCATACAACTCTTATTTACGCTTCATCATCCATTGGATTGTCTATTCTCTCTATCACTTAATAGATTCGATTAATGTACATACTACACACAACAAGTACACCAACATCCATGTTCATTGTTTAATCATCTCACACACAGTTCTTGTATCCTTTTCTTCCCCTTTCTTTTTGACTTCATCATGTCTGTATTGCGAATAATTTCACAGTTTGTATGTATGTATGTGTGTTTATATACGTTTCACAGATTATTATTATTATCGTTATTATTTTTTTGTTGTTGAGTAATTTATCACCAGATTACTTATTTTTTTTTGTTTTTTTTAAAAACTTTATTCTTGTTTATTTTTTTGTTGCTTCGTTACTCTAGTTTATTTCTTCTTTCTTGTTTTGTTTTCGCTTTGTTTTCCTCATTTGGATGTGTGTATATTGTTAGTATACTAATGTATTATTACCAATACTACTCATTGCCTTTCAAACATAGCTACCTTGTTCAAATGTGTTTTTTTTCGTTTGTTGTTGTTGCTTCACCTTTTTATATTTTATTGTTGCATATTATTATTATTTATTTGTTTTGTTTTGTTTAAATTAACTTAAATCATTATTTGAAATTTGAATGAAAGCGCTAATATCATTTGACTGAGGAGAAGAAAAGACCGTACCATATAGTGTTTTATACTATTGAATAATTAATTATTGTTTTGTTCTACTGATCAATGTCTCATTCATTGTAAAACTATCATGATGATCCTATTTTTTATCATTTTGATTTTATTCAACTCTACATAATATGAATTTTCTTCTTGAATGTTTCTATTCTCCAAGACTTGACATGATTAGAAGTTATGTTGTTGTACTAAAATCGACAATTTCTTTCTACTTATCAGGATTTCATTTATTCAATGAAAATATATTCTTTCTTCATTGATTATCAACTTTTATATGTGGATTAAGTATACGTGATTTTTTTAGTTGGTTAGTGATGATTGAATCCTAGTGGAGAATTGTTATTCAAAACACGAATGAGTTTAATTTAGACAAGCAATAGATGATTGTTTCGTCTTAGTATGGAACTTCTCAGCAGTGTATATTCACAACAGCAATCGATTCTAATACTTTCAGTCTCATGCACGAATGCTTAAGCTCTAGACTAGTGAGTCAGGATCCAATAGTGTAGAGGTCTAACTTCAATCGCCGCACGATACTATACAATCTTCTTCCAATGTCTTCGGTCGGCAGTTACCTCACGTTCAACACAGTTTAGCTCCATTGGTCTTGCTTGAATCAATTCATGATTTAAATAAAATTCATCAATCTCCACAACTGTATGACATTCATTTTAAATGAAATAACTAGTAAATCAAGGTTGCAATAGTGGTTGTTTTTACTGAGATTTTCTCAGACAGTGATAATCAGTCATCGAGAAATAAGTGAGATAGATCGGAGAGTCTTGCTTTTCTCTTTGTTTATATTGAGACCTACTGCTGCTACACTGGTCGTTTTCTTCTGCATTTGTTGTTGCGTTTGTGATAGAAGAGCCAGATCATCCTCGAAGTCTAGATCGTCCAGCTGCATCCTGCCCGTCCACTGTATCCCGTGATTTCCTCCAGTTGTTGACGTATTCATGATCCAGTCGATCACCAGGAGAAAGAGAAACGGTGAGAGTAAGCAACCTTGCCTAACACCGGTCTTTACCTCGAATGAGTCGGTGAGTTGTCCTCCGTGGACGATTTGGCAGTTTAGTTCATCATAGGAGTTCAGTATAATATTGACTATCTTAGGCACGCCGTAGTGTCGAAGAAGCCTCCATAGTATCGTCCTGTCCACACTATCAAATGCCTTCTCGTAGTCGATGAAGTTGATGTAGAGTGATGAATTCCATTCGATTGATTGTTCCACAATGATACGTAGAGTTGCGATTTGATCTGTGCACGATCTATCCTTACGAAATCCAGCTTGTTGATCTCGAAGTTGGGCGTCCACGGAATCCTTCATCCTGTTTAACAATACTCTGTTGAAGATTTTTCCTGGTATTGAGAGAAGAGTGATGCCCCTGTAGTTGTCGCACTTGCTGAGTTCGCCTTTCTTTGGTATCTTGATCAGAAGTCCTTTTTTCCAATCTGTTGGTACTTGTTCTTCGTCTCAAATCTTACTGAAGAGGAGTATCTTGGCAGTTGCTGCTACATTTGCTTTCAGTGCCTCTGCCATGATGTTGTCTGGTCCCGCTGCTTTGCCACTCTTGACTTGTCTAATGGCCATTCTGATCTCTTCAATTGTTGGTGGGCCAACATCGATTGGGAGGTCCGTGGGTGCTGCTTCGATGTTGGGTGGGTTCAGTGGAGCTGGTCGATTCAAGAGTTCTTTGAAGTGTTCTACCCACCTGTATCGTTGTTCTTCAATGTCGGTGATTACTTTGCCTTCCTTGCTTTTCACTGGTCTTTCTGGCTTACGGTAATTTCCAGCAAGTTTCTTTGTTGTATCATACAATTGTCTCATATTTCCCTCTCTTGCAGCCTTTTCCGCTGTCATCGCTAAATCTTCCACATATTTACGTTTGTCGATTCTGATGCTCCTCTTCGCTTGCTTGTTTGCCTCTGTGTATTCGGCTTGTGCCTTGGCTTTTTCCGCTCTTGTTCGGCTGATATTGATTGCTGCCTTCTTGTTCCTCCTTTCTTCAATATTATTCAGTGTACCAACAGTGATTCATTCGTTGTGATGGTGCTTCTTTTGGCCCAGAACCTCTTGACACGTTGAAACGATTGCCTCCTTGATACCTTTCCAGTTGCTCTCCATGGTAGTCCCCTCTCCATTGAGTAGGTCATGAAAGGCCTGGAACCTGTTGTTGAGAGCTATGTTGAATTTGTTGAGTTTGTCAGCATCTCGAAGAAAGGCCATATTAAACTTTTGTGATGTTGTCCGCACCGTTTTCCAGTGCTTCTTGAGTTTTAGTTTGATCTTGGTGACCAGCAAGTGATGATCTGATGCTATATCAGCTCCTCTTCTGGTTCTCACATCCTCCATCGTCCTCCTGAACTTTTTGTTGATGCAGATATGGTCGATTTGATTCTGTGTAGTGTGATCCGGTGAAATCCAAGTGGCTTTGTGTATGTTTTAGTGTGGAAATATGGTGCCACCTATGACCAGTTCATTGAAGGCACATAGGTTTGCAGATCTCTCACCATTTTCGTTCCTTTCTCCCAGTCCATGTTGTCCCATGACGTCTTCATATCCAGTGTTGTCCATTCCAACCTTAGAATTGAGATCTCCCATCAAAATTGTCAGGTCCTTGGTTGGGCACTTCTCGAAGATCGACTGCAACCTGTCGTAGAATTGGTCTTTAGCGTTTTCATCGTAGTCATTGGTAGGCGCATAGCATTGGATGACGTTCATTGTAATGCCCTCTCTCTTTGTTTTGAAGGAGGATATGATGATCCTTGGTCCATGAGATTCCCATCCTATAAGTGCATTTTGTGCTTTTCTGGACAGCATCAATGCAACTCCTTGTGTATGTGGGACATTTTCTTCTTCATGACCGGAGTATAACAGAAGTTCCCCTGAAGACAGTCGTTGTTGTCCAACCTGCGTCCAATGCGTTTCACTGATTCCAAGCACCTCCAGGTTGTATTTTCTCATTTCTGCAGCAATTTGGAAGACTCTTCCGGTCTCCCACATTGTCCGGACATTCCATGTGCCTATGTAAAAATTGTTGCTCTGGTTGTAAGAAGGTGCATCGGCCTCATGACTTCCGAAGGAACTCGGCTTTCATCATGAGACGTCATAATTATTCCTTCAACTCGAAGGGCAGAGTTTAAATGGTTTGAATAATTTTTTCTGGTTAGTGTTTTTTAGCTAGTTGATTTTCTACGGGATGGGTTCGGTAACCCCATGCCCAACCCTCCTCCTTTACCCGGGCTTGGGACCGACAGTAACCCCCAGAGGAGCTACAGGCGGAGTTTATCAACGCAGCTACATGAAGTTATTACGATGAACACCAAATTAAAAGTTGTATCAGTCTTACTAAGAAATATAACGCATGGATAATATTATTTAAGAGGAATGAATAAGTTTTTGCCTTGAGAGTTATAAAATAATTTCAAAATTCTGAATCTAACTGAAGATGAAGAGTAGATTCGTCTAAGCTATTGCAACTGGTTCTAAACCATGTCACCCAAAGTGTCCGACCAATGTTCGCAATAATTGCACGAACCGCTATGAGGTAGTCTGAACTTAACAACATGACTCAAACCAACAGTTAGTAACTCCATAAATTGACGTCACATTTTAGTTTGCTTTCTCCTACCTTTCAACCCACTACACTAGCTCATGAACGTAGTCATTGGTTGTTCATGCGTAATACATATCACAAACACCCCAATCGATAGATTTACAATCTTATCGGCTGATTCGTTATCTTTACCTTGAATCTACAAAGATTTTGCGTTTATCGAACGACAAAAAATTACCACAGATAAACAGGTTTTTCAAAATAATAAAGGCGATACTTTGATAGACTTGGTACTCTCCGTTCGACATGAAAATGATCTTATTAAGTTATCGAATACTGAAGTAGTGAAGATATGTGGCCTCGATGGATACTGTTGGGTGAGTTGATTTTTGCAAAATAGGTTGTTGGATTTTGAAGCTGTCATGGTCACTTTACACATAAGATCGGTGACCGAGATGATATTACCACTAAACTACATTATTGATCGATAAGCTTTACGAAGATTAGATCATAGATCAGATACACACTTAACCAAAAACAGAGTATGAGCCAGATATCTCAAACATCGTTACAAGCAGTCTACACTCAGTGAGTACAAATTAGAAATTAATCGTAGGTACGGAATCATATATTAGATAGTCATCAAACTGAGTGTCTGTCTGTTTGTCCCCAGTGCCCAATCAAACCATACTTTCAATCACTACACATCATTAAGAAGTTAACCACTTTGTGTCACTGAACCAAAATTCTTATATTTTTAAAGAAAAAACTTGCTACTGGAAACGATTATTTACTAATCAGATTACCTGTAATCGTCTCCATCAGTAGTTAGGATTTCATATAAGCAAATAATTAATGAAATGTGAAATAAGCATGGATGTCTATAAGATACGGATTTTGTGTAGAAGAAACCTAGTTGATGTTCAAAAGAATATTTTTTTTTTACTGAAAAACGATAGTGTGGTTTTAAGATTATTTATCTTACACACAATAGCAAGTAAGTTTCTGAAAAAGTTTTGAAGAAAGCTTCTTGGACTAAGAAATTTAGTCAAGATATGACATACGACAGAACTGAACGTTCAATTATCAAATAGAATTCAAAAAATAATATGAATTGTCGGTTAGCTACAACGTAGGACCAGGCACACATATGCATCAGTCCAAGTTGCCATACCTCATTACCACAACAAGATGAACACCGAATTCACAGAAGTAGTTAATTTAGTGGTGGTAATATATAAGAGACAGGTTGTATATAAGGATATAGTATAGGAACGAAGACAGGTATGAAGCAATTTTAATCTCAAGGTTTAGGCGAAGATAAAGAGTGTATACATCTGCACCATTGTAATCGATTCTGAGTCATGTCACCTTGTAGTATCGGTTGTTATGTCAAGCCCATATGCCTTATTCTAACCTCTGGACAAGTCAGTTCACCTATCCATCATGAGTGATATTTTCACCTTGTTAATTATTCATTTATTAACCCTGACCATTTTTATTTGAGCGTAGGTGTGTATACACTTCTTATCCTATTCATCACATGTCTGTCATTTATTCTTGTCTGACCATAAATATTAATTAACGCTTGATAAAAGTGAGTTGGGTTACCGCCATCTCCAATGTGCGTCATTTGTTAGTAATACTGTAGTTGCCGCTTCTGGTTTTATGCACCGTTAAGATTTTTATTATAACGGTTATGGTGGTGAACGATTGGCGAAGTAAGGCACTCCAACCATTGGTTACGATAGTCACGCGGACCCCAACCAAGTAGTCTGCAGCTACCAACATGACTCAGACTAGAAGTTAGTGACTTCACGCTCTGATGCCACGTTTTTTATATGAAATGTGCATCATTAGTTTTCGTAACTATTTATTTAAAGATCAAAAGGTATAAATGTTAATGTGATCATAAACTTTTTAACAAATACAGATAACTCAAACAGATATTCAAACTTAAAATCACCATACTCAACCTTGAAAACTATTCTTGTGTAGATAAACAAATATTTTTGGAGTAAATAAATTCAATAATTAGTTCACATTTGTTTAAACGACAAACTTATATTTAACTGACTAACTCTTAATGTTATTTCATAC